AAATGTACCAACTAAAGGCTATATCCACATTCACCATTTTAAACATTTCTTATGCTCTAACCATAACCATATGCCTTGTTTATTATTTGTTAAGCACAAAGCCACACTGATGGTATTGAACCTCAAGCTTACAAATGAACCAATAGGGGGCATATAATCCAACTGCAAATATTGTATAACTACAACTTCAGAAGGTGCAAGTGAGGCTATTTTGTTTTATTCACCCTTTAACTCTCATAAAAGTGGATTAAAATTCAAGGATGTTCATTTCAGCTTTGATGGACTTCAAGTGGTGTGTTAAAATTTGACACACAGCATTGATGGAAGATGCTTCTTTCTTCATACCAGTATTAACTGTATAAAAAAAGTTTTATTTTTATTTTAAAAAACTATTCTGCTTGCCAGATATTTTCCCACTGTAATTCAAAGTACTACAAATTGATTTTTAGTGGAAAAATTAATTTATTCAGTAAATAAAACTACTGCAATGATCAAATATAATTTTAATTGTTATGACTGTGTTTCAAAATTACACAAGGTACAACTTTACTTAGCTACACCACATCTAGAGTAATATCAAACTTATTCTAAATAATGACAACTAACTTAAAATTCTCAGAACTATTCCTCCAAAATTATGAGAAACACAATGTTACCAAGTTACACTTATCCTAAGCCATGCCTACAGACAAAACATTTTCAGGAAAATTATTCAAGGGCTGAATAGATAGAAATAAAATATTCTCATATAATACAAATACAATACAAAAAATAGGTTATTAGGAATGTAATACATAAGACACCATAACATAAAAAGCTGGACTATAAAGCATAACTTTGTCATTATAGCCACAACCATAATGTAGCAGTGTGACTTCTGGATATCACAACCATATATTATTACTCTTATACAGCTATTACAGGAGTGATTTCTTGACATTATATTCACAACCATAATGTAGCAGTGTGACTTCTAGACATCACAACCATAAATTATTACCTATATATAGCTAATATAGTAGTAACTACATGAAATTATAATCATAAAACTTACCTTTATAGCAGCTAATGTAGCGGTGTGACTTCTTGACATTATATTCACAACCATAATTGGTGGTAAAAGCTTCTTTTTCTCAATCTGTGATTGGTTGTTAAAATCAAATTACTTCACAGAAAGAAAAAATGTGGTTAACATACCATCTTGCATCATTAGAAAGTACTTATCAAGTCATGTACACAAACAACTCATGTTAGTAAGTGTAGGTATATTATATGATGCATTAGCATTCAGTTCCTGATAAACCCTGTGAAAATACCTTTACACAAACATGCAATATTAAACTCAAAACAATTATTTAGCAAAATTATTTAAGTAGCTTCAAAAGTTATTTTAGACACTATTAGTTTTTCTTTCTGATACTAATTTTAATTACAGGATAAAAAATATAATTACGATTTGTTCTTGTACCCATAATAAATTTCAACTAAAACATATTTTCTTGAAGAATTATATTTTGCAAAAAATAGAGTAATACATCAAATTTTCTACACATTCACAGCTAATCAGTCACTGTTTCGTATAATAATGAACCACATATGGTCAATTAACGAATAACAATTCTAGCAATGACTACAAGTCTGCTTATTACCTGAACATTTGATAACAGGTCTGACTATTAAATACTGACTTGAAAAAAAATCCAAATAAGCCTAGCATAAGTTGGTTCCAAATGAGTAAAAAAATATTCATCAACACTGCACATCAACCTATATTCTGTATTATTACCACTGACTTTTGTGAATAGCATAAGCAAGAGTTATAATCTTATTTTCATCAAAAATAAATTAACATTGATTTGTACTTGTTTTAGAATCTTCTTGTTGAATTCCATGGGGAATAATCTTTCTACATAAATCATTCCAAACTTTTCTACCTAACAATCCCTTAAGAATGAACATACAAAAGTAAAGATAATTAGAATTTGACTCAATGGAGAAAATACAATATTGCTTCAATGATAGAATGGAATTTCAACAGAAAAATTTTAAATATTTACAATATTAAAAGTGTTATAAAATAAAGTATAAAATTAATTAATTAATTTTGTTTATCACATTGAAAATTAAGCATCTTTGAAATTCCAAAAATAACTAGTGATAGTCTTGGATATTTAACAAAAGCTAAATTAGAGAAAACTTAAGTATCAAAATACAATAAAAAAATCATAATGGACAAACAAGACCACATAATTGCTCAGCCATTTTTTTTTTCTTTTTAAGGCTGATGTATCAATTGGTAAGTAAATACTGTAACCCACATTGAAAAGGATATGAGATAATACAGACATCAGAAACTTGTCTTCAGTTGTCTGTGAGAAGAACCACAAAGCCTGAACCCACAACATGGGATCATAGTTTCTGACAGCAAGAAATAAGAATATATATGTGATTGATATGTCAATATCTAAACTTCACATTACTGAGTACATACCAAAAGTAACAAAATTTAGCTAATTTAGTAACAAATTAAACAAGTGATCATTAATTAGCTACTCTTGTTAGACCAAACAGTGAGATTTGACAATTACTCTTATAATGCAACCATGTGCAATAAAGTGCTTTTTTACATATCAAATGTAACACAAAATACTGTGCTGATAACCTCTTTAATGTGTAACTATACATAGGTACATTAACACCATGTCACCCTTAGCATAAATATCTCTAAATAATACATCAACATGGTTACATTTTCTTTTTATTAAGAAGAAAGTACATGGTATGTTAATAATGACAGTTCTTGTCCCCAACTTACATGTATACTTAACTATTCTTCAAGATCTACAGCCAGTTAATTACAGCTGTGTTTTCAGAATACTGCACTAAAAAACTTTATTGAATTACACAATTGTCATGATGGTAGTTTTATCAGAAGCAAATGTTAATGGTAAAATGTAAGTATTTGTAACACATTAGCAGTATTAGCAGTAGCTCATTATCTAATAACGAATGAGCAAAAGAAGCAAACAATAAGAAATACCATCTGTAATGGTCTTAAAAATTGAAAGAATTAATAAATATTTAGTGAAATAAGAATAAACAATAACTAAAAATAATTCCTTACAATATTTTAGTAAATCAAGGATAAACCTAGCACACTTGATCTCCACAACAACAAGAGATTCCAGGACCTAGTATGCAGAAGGATGGGTACAATGATTTGTAGTGGTAAAATGAAGGAAGGAGACAAAACTCAATGTGAAGGTCAAGTAAAAATAAATGTTTTATTAACTGAAGACAAATTGACAGTTACGGGATGATTATCAAAGTGGCAGAAGTACTGTAACGTGATGAAGTTAGAGAAGAAAAGTTTAATGCACTATTTAAAGATAACTCACACAATCAGCAGGTGCAAGAAGTAAAAATAAAAGAAGGCTTCCTCAAAATCAGAAAAGAATCTGTTATCCTCAGAAATAGAAATGGCATTGGTTTGAAAACATCAAACTAGATTCACAAGACACATTCTCACTGTAGATGACCAATCAGAAAGAAAGATCTCTAAAATCCAAAAATATATATCTACTCCATGTGATAGTCAAAAAGTAATTCTCTATACAACTATCCTACAAAATAGCAAATAAGCTCCTTGACAACACAGTCTACAGAAAGTAACACTTCAGCATGACCTCAACCACACTTAACCTGTTTCAAATTAAACTGTTTGTTTAATTTCACACAAAGCTAAACGGTGGCTATCTGTACTAGCTGTTCATAATTTCAAAGTAACAGACTAGAGGGAAGCACATCAAGTCAATGACCTGCTGCCAACTCTTAGGCTACTCTTGTTAGACCAAACAGTGAGATTTGATAATCACTCTTATAATGCACCCATGTGCAATACATGATTTTCATTTGTTTTCTCTGTGGTAATGGGAAGCAAACCAAAGAACCTTAGATCAATAGCCTATCATGATAACCAAGGGGCCAACCCTGGCCCTCCAAACTTGAATTCAGAAAGATCTTTCATTTCATGGATATTAAATATATATCAGAAGCGAGTTGGGTATTAGTATTTGCATAACTACAACTTCAAAAACAAGTACAAAAACAAAGGATTATAATCTAAGAGTTGCTAAGTGACAAAATGCGTGTGTATCAAAATTTCTAAATACTATTTTCTTTGCTAAACATATCTAAAATAAAAAATTAAAATTATATTAAAAACATGCACATTAATAAAGCTTACATATTATTATGAACATGAATTATGATAATAGCTCACTAAGTTTAGGTTTTTCCATTTTCTGAACAATGTGCCTAATTGCCTCATACTTTTAAGCCAACAGCTAGATAAATTGAGAAATCTTTGCCATTTCTTTGAATTCTTAGCTTTTCTAGTTTATTTCTTTACAATCAATCAAGAAAAGTATGTCTTTCGTAAAAGTCATGTTGGTTGAATTCAACAAAGCTTTTAACCAATGTAACTAATAAATAATATCATAGTAGTTCTGGGATGAGAAAGAAGACTTAAGGTAACACCCATTCTCTTTCATACATATTTTTAGTTTCTGACAGGCCCAAGATTTGTTTAAAAAAATTATACAAACAGTAGACAGTTTTCCAAGTTTACCTCAAGTTTACAAAAGTGACACTAACCCAAACCTTTCACATGTTTTGATGACATTTTCATAGTCTTTATGCTCAATGTGATACGCCAAAATCTGCTGATACCTGCAAACAGAAGAAACATCTTATTCGTCTCAGAACCAACCTAAGCATCTTTCTAAATAATTCTTTAAAGACACAACTCAAAAGCCTGCAAAACTTCTGGGAATATTCCTTACAGAAACAGGTTTGAAATCAGAGTATCTCCTGAAGTGCTTATAAAAACAACTTATGAACCTAAGCATCATCTAGAAATATTTCTTAGAAAAACAACCCGAGAATCTTAGTATTTTCTGGGTTATTTTTCCAAAAATAGTTGTAACCTAAGAATCTAAACATCTTCTGGGAATATTCTTTACAGAAACAATTTAGGAACCTTAGTATCATCTGGGAATATTATAGAAACAATTTAGAAACAGACCAGTTTTTGTAAAATTCAGTGCAGAAGAAACACAATTGCTAATAATTCCTTACAGAAAAACATGTAAACCTGGTCACATTCCTGAATAACTCCTTACATAAAAAAAACTTGCAAACCCAACCACATTTCTGAATAATTCCTTACAGAAAAAGCATGAAAACCAAGCCACAATCCTACATAATTCCTTATTGAAACATCATGCAAGCCTATCCACATTCATAATTAATTCCTTACAGAAGCAGCATGTGCACCTGACCACATTTTTGACTGATTCCTTATAAAAACATCATGTAAATCCGACCACATTTCTGAATAATTCCTTACAGAAACAATATACAAACCTGACTACATTCTTGAATAACTCCTCACAAAAACGTCATGTAAACCTGACCACCTTCACAAGCAAATCTTTTCAGAAATGGCCAAAGAACCCATGTTTTTAACGAATTTTGCTGTTAATATTCCTTATGAAAAAACAGTAACAATTATAAACCTTACCAGCTTTCTGAATAACTATTTTTGGCAGCCTGAACATTTTTTTAAAATTATTATAAGTAGAATGAATCAAGGGATATGTATAGGTCATTATTATTATTTCTAAAACTATAGGATCAGAAAATTTACTATTACACAACTAAGACATATTTGTAGATATATTTTATATTTTAATGTTGCAAAATTTCTTGCCATAGAATTTACAGTTCGTTTTTTACAACAAACAGTTTACACTTATGTAAAACATTTTACATAATTACTAGTTTTGTATAAATGTGATAAATTAATGTTTATTTTTTCTTGTGTTTATGTACAAATTAGTAAAACATTAATAATTATTTTTAAAATCAAATTTCATAAACTAATACAGCACATGTACCACTTAAACTATCTTGTTCAAGTGTCATTAGAATGGATAATATGCAAAATTTGATCTCAGTGTTAGTATGCCTTGTTTTCTAGAATAAAAAAAACACATCAGGCCAATGTCAACATACTCCATACATATCTCTGTCATTCATGGTCTCCTCTTTACATAAAATATCCTTATTGCGAAATTCATTTAAAGCAAGATTTCAAAGATAAAAAAAAATTATCTATAATTAAATATCAATCCATGAAATTGAGGATTAGCATATACCTTTCCAGATATCACTGAACTATCAAAATGTCTCAGTGCATTCCATACTTACAGCTTTTCCTTTTCATAAAGATGTAAAATTCCAGGTTTAAAACTGTTCATTTGACACAAGACCAGAGCCTGATCAACATGGTATCTTGCCTAGAAGACACGAAATACTTGTTTAGCATAATAACTTAAGATATATTTTTAATATTTCAAATAAGTTTTGAAATCAATCTGTTGCTGCTCATTACTTCTAACCTAGAAATGTATGTTTATTACAGATAGTTAAATAAACATTTCTTCATCAGATTTAACAATTAAAATGGATTAAAGCATTTATCCTATATTATTCATACTACTTAAAAAATAGCACAACTGCTATTAGTAGGTAAAGAGATGTACTATTCGATATAAGGCATAGGAATGTAAAGAAAATTATGCATGTGATTACTATATTATGTCAAAGAAAGTTCATTTAACATGCTCTCATGGGTTGCATTTATACATAGTTTTCTTATGTCATTACTAATAAACACAGATGTTATCTATACTTACCTCTGGATTACTAAGCATATCCATTATCTTCTGTTCACATTCTTTTTTATTCTATTTAAAACAATAAAAAATTAATTAATTTGAACCTTTTAAAACATTGTAACATTAGTTTGCATCATGAAGAACAATTCAATTGGAAGCTCTTTACAGAAATATGTAACAAAACATTTGTCACTTCACATACACAAACTTTATGTTATGAAAATACAGTTCATTCTTGTCATTCCATGTCAAACCAGAAACTATTGTAATGCATTCACTATTCATATCTCAATAATCTACTAGTCAATTGAAAAATTAGAGATTTTGTTCTTATTCCTAAAAAAAATAAACAACTTTACAAACAAAAATCTTGAAAAAGTTCAGTTAAAAACTCTACAAACCCTAAATAAAACATAATACATAATATTTCAGGGATAGGAATACAAACAAATTTATCTCTGTAAACAAAATACCTAAACTTTAAAAATTATGTAAGAAAAAGAAAAACTATAACACAAAGCTAATTTTCATTTAGATATGATCTACTTAATCTATACTTTGTTACCATCATATTCAAACTGAGCTTTGTAATGGAACATATTTTTACTGTTTTTATTTATAAAGCATTCAAAACTTATAATAAGAATCATAAAGCAATATCCATTACCTTATGATAGTTTGCTTAAAAATGACTAGGGTATCATTACTTTATAATGGTTTCTTTGAAAGTGAATGGGAGTACTGCTACCTCATGGTGGTTTGTTTGAAGGTGATGGGAGTACTGCTACCTCATGATGGTTTGTTTGAAGATGATGGGAGTACTGTACCTCATGATGGTTTGTTTGAAGGTGATGGGAGTACTGTACCTCATGATGGTTTGTTTGAAGGTGATGGGAGTACTGTACCTCATGATGGTTTGTTTGAAGGTGACAGGAGTACTGTGACCTTTATATGATTATTTGCTTGAAGATTCCCTCTCACTATTAAATTTTATTGTTTTACAATGTTTCATTGCTCTTGTTAATTTCACTGAAATGCAGTTTCCTTTGAATATTCTTAGAAGTAGATTTACTAATTAAGAGTGATGGATTTCACCAGTCTTGTTGACCCTGATATTCTGTTACTTTTTATTTTAGTTATCCATAATCTGAAGCACTGGCTTAAGATTGTTTACACTATTGCTAAGTCATTACTCTTTCAAGGTTGCCCAATTGGGTTTATCTTTTGTGAATCTCATTTTTTACCAATTTGCATCTGCACGTATACATTTACTTGTGTAATGTATTCAACTGTGTAATCAGTTCACGTAACGAAATACCATGTACCTCTCTCGATTATCCAAGCAAAAGACAGTACAAAAGTATCGTGTTGTAAGTTATGAGATACATCTTATTAGAAAGTACATCAGTTTTGTGTTAATTGAAGTATATTAGTTAAGGACAATAATTCATGTTCAAACAAAAGCCACACTATTAGCTTAGCTGTGATCTATGTAATTCACAAAAACAATGTGAACATTTAATGTTTCTAGAATAGCAACAATGTTTGATATCTGTGATGGGATATTAAGGGAATAGTTTGTACACGTATTTCAATAACTTAGTACAAAGAAAATCACAGTTATTTTGCTGAAATATTCAAATAGAATTCTTTAATGGAAAAGTATAAAAAAAAGCTTGATAAACTACTATTTTAAGGTTTACAAGGAGAAAACGAAGCTCTTCTCTATTATTCTGATGATCCCTAATAAAGCAGTCAGTCTGATAGACTTGAAATACAACTGTTTACATTTTCTACCTTAGAACAAGTTTACTTGAACACGACCAATAATGCCAACTACTAGAAGTACTCACTGTTATCTTGTTAAGAGATGAAAATGTGATTTTCAGAATATAACACAAATACTAAAATTAACAACTAAGAATGTTGCTCAAGTTGTTCTATAACTTACACTTTCATCAGTCTCATGATTGTAATTATGGAGGTAGAGCTCTAACAGAGTATTGTACACTAAGGCAGAGGAGCTACGAGGTTCAACCTAAAAACAAACCATTAAAAAATTACACAACAAATTAATACTTAAAGCATAATATCTTCTTGTAAAACTACAAACTTATTTGATAATTGCACTTAAATTATCTAAACTACTATCCGTATTAAATAATTTGTAGAAGTATCTTTTTTAAAACAAAATAAAACTGATTATGTTATTTACTCTCAAAAATATAAAATTTTATACACTGTATAAATTTAATACATTATAAAATCAGAACACAGTCTGAAAACTAGGAACTATAGGATTATGAAAAATTCAAAGTTTACGCACAGTCAAAAAACAACCAAAAATGACAATTTACAGAACAACTAAGAAAAATTTGAATAATAATTTCAGATTAAGATTTCTTGATCATCAGCAAAATACAAGATTAGTTAACTAAATCACTTATTGGAAAATTAGCAAAGTTCCTAATCTCTTTTTAATGTTTAATTTAACCCCTTCCAGAATGGAAGGGTGTCACGGAGATCCTCGATCTTTTTTTCTTCTCAAATTGGAAATATTTAACCAAATCGCATGAAACTTTGTGCAAACTTACTTACAGAATTAAATAGTATCTAGTTTCAAATTAAAAATTTCATATAATTCAATTAAGTTTTTCAATAATTTTTATTTTAAGAAACTTTCAAAATTTTGTTGTGATGTTTACAAAGGTAATGAACTATCCACAATGTGCCCACCATGGATATCAAAACCCAGTTTTTAGCATTATAAGCCATCAGACTTATTGCTGAGCCACGGTGGGGGGCTTGTTGTATGACTCTAAAGAAAAACAACTTCCTTCCATATAAGGATTTTTTTTTTATTGATGATCAAAAAATTCCATTTTGGAAATCCAGCCAGTATCAACTTAATATTAATTTAAATTTTTTTATATACTTTATTTTACCAACAGCAGTAGTCACCACTTCCAGCTATAAATCACATAACACACTATCTAAATTGTCAAAGATTTATCGGTAACCTAGGAAAATATCTTTCAAAATGGCAACAGGTCAGGCTAGATAAAAATACTTTTACTAACAATATTTTCGGTTCAGATCACTGTATATCTAAAATATAGTTTCTTTTCAATAAAATCTTTTAGGGTTTGAATAACATTTTAACAATATTATTCAATAAATAAGGATTTGTGTCGCTGAAATATTCTGCAATCACTTACTCTACTTGCTAAACTTAACCAAGTTCAACTAGTTTCTTGCCAAAGAAGAAAAATTTTGTAGCTTTCAAACAAATACAATTTAACATAAAAACATTTTCAAGAAAAAAAACAACAATTGAAGACACAATAAAAGATTCCCAGATCTACTGTTTATTCCTAAATATTCTGATCCTCAAATTAGATTTCATTTCTTATTCTTTTTGGAGCTAGGTTTTGAAACTTTCTCATGAAACCATAAGTTACTTCTCACACCATTTTATCAATTTTACATTGTAGTGTAGTTATTAATAATACACATCAGTTTTTTATAATTGTTCTGCCCATTCCAAGGAATATGTTTATATTTGCCAAGAAACTCTCAGACATTGAGAATTTAATTAATATCCGTGGTTTGTTTATATGTGCTTTACCTTCTATTTCATTGATTTTGTTAGTCTAGCCTCTCATTCCCACCCTTTTAAGATCTCAAAACATTGATAAGAACAACTACTAATGAAGCTGAGCTTTGAAAATAACTACAGGCAAAGTTTAATTAGCATTAGATAGAGCAGATTTTTAACATATGGTGAAGGTAGTTCTAAAATGTTCTCAATATTTTTACCAATAAACTAGTGATGAATACTAAGATGTTATTTTTATTAATCACCTTGTGATGAATACTAAGATGTTATTTTTATTAATCACCTTGTGATGAATACTAAGATGTTATTTTTATTAATGACCTAGTGATGAATACTGGAAGATGTTATTTTTGACAGTAGTGGTATATTTAGTTTGTGTAAAGAAGATTTAAGTTTTGACAAACTTCATCATTCTGTTTGCAGGTATATTGCACTTATTTATTAATACTCAACCCTATCGTGAGCAGTGTTCAGGTGTCAAGTGCACACTTGCATGTTAAGTTTCAAAATTTAAGTAAAAATAATATTTCTAACCCTATTTCAACAATTTTTAACTCGCAAATATTTTAGAATTGGTATCTTGTCATTTTGTAACATATGATTAGTGTCATTCATAAAGAAAATTGAAAAAATGTTTAAACCTCTATGTCTATTCAGTTCTCATCTCCAGGAATTCCATCAGTTTCTTGGAATTGTTGACAAAGATATGAATAAATTCCTCCGGTGAGGACTTATTTATTTCATTATCTACTACTCCAGAGCCTAAATGAAAAGAGTATTCTACAATTGTTGTTTAAAACAATACATCACTTGGTGGATTAAAGTGGTTTAAGCAAATGATTTTAGTTTTAAGACTATATTCACTGTCTAGAAAAAGTAGAAAATATTAACAGTTGACATTGTTTAATATTATAAACTCAAAGTTTTCCAAAATAATTAAAGATACTTAATCACTTTAATATATGCACTTCATCTTGGAATGTTAGCCTCTTCTAATCACCAATATCAACACTGTAGAACCATAAGTAGGGATACAGAAATTATATGCAGTATACGTAACTTTTGAAACATGTGGTATGGGTTAAGTTATTTAAACAGAAAGGCATACTCCTATTGAACAACATAGTGATTTACACCATGAAAAATTAATGTTAATAGCTATGGTGCATTATCATTCCATTTAATAAATTCAAACATAAGCAAACATACATACATATATATATACACACACACACACACATATATACACAGTAATTAGAATTAAATAATGCAAACACTACACTTCACTTAAACTTATTGTAACCCTAAAAGCTGGAGAAATAAAATTGTGTGAACAAATTAACTGTCCACAAGTTTACAAAGAAAGAAAACACTGTTGGCTCTTTAGAGAAGAAAAAATATGCTAATGTATTTTCCCTACCAAATAAGGTGCACTATAATCTGTTGGCTGTAAAATTGTGTAGCAGATTTTTTAAGAAGCAAGAAATATTCTCACCATATAGAGAATTCTGATCAACCAGGAAAGCTGAAAGAAGAAAATACCAGCAACTGAATTTTTGTGTTTTTCAACTTTTCATACAAATAATGCATCTCTTTTAATAATTAACTACCACATGAGTCTTTAGTATTTAATTTGCTAGTCACCAATCAGTATTAAATGGTCAAAGAAGACCATCACTGAAATAATAATGTTTATTTATTAATTTTCACACCTACTTGAGTTCATTGCAAATCAACTGTGTTAAGCACTCAGCAAACATACAGTTTTGTCTGCTTTATTTGGATATGTTTATTTATATTTTTTGGTACTGACAATGGAAATTTTTTTTCTGTTTGGAATTGTAAAAGTACTTCAGCTTTAACCAGAATCAGTTGTTGAAAGGTATTATTAGAATACTATGATGTTTATAAGTAATTGGTTTAAAAAATGCAAAACAGTCTCTATTAAAAATGATATTAATAAACAATTAAATAAAAGTAATACATTGATAAAGGAACTAGTATAACTAATATTGTTAATGAAACCAACAATAAGTAAACAACATAATTTACCTTAATTAGGGAATACACAGACAATCATTGCTGTATTGAACCTTCATTCTTGTGGTTGCCATTACTAATGATGAATGATGAATTCCTAATAACATCTTTCTTTCATTTTTCTAGTTTGTTCATTTCTGTTCTGTTTTATATTTCAGTATGTTCACCTTTTTTTTGTTTTTTGATAGCTTTTTCAAAATATGGTGTGGTGGTTGCTGATATTAATGATAGCTTTTTCAAAATATGGTGTGGTGGTTGCTGATATTAATGATAGCTTTCAAAATGTGGTGTGTTGGTTGCTGATATTAATGATAGCTTTCAAAATGTGGTGTGTTGGTTGCTGATATTAATGATAGCTTTCAAAAGGTATTGTGGTTGCTCATAGTAATGATAACTTTCAAAAGATTTTGTGATTCCTGATATTAATAAATAATAGTAACATCACAGCAAAATATGTACATAAAGTGAACCTAAAAGTCAACTCGGCCATCATTATAGCTAACTAAATATACTTTTCTTAAGTTTTTACTTCTGAAGATCAGAAGGCATTGTTTCATTAGTTGGGTACCCTCACTGTTTATGATATTTTTGGCCATAATCCCAATAATATCTCACCAGGTTCAACCAGCTTAGGAGATTTAAACTAGTCCTAAAAACACATTCTAAACTAACTAATATCAGAAACCACAATACCTTTTGAAAAGTAAAAATGATATCCGAATGAAAGTTGTCATTAATATCAGCATAAGCTTATACAAGTGAACAAGGGCCAAAATAATTCCTAATACTCATAAAGGAGGTAGCAGTGACAAAAAAATTCCTGGAAGAATCAAGAACTAAAACTTACTTGAGCTACAGAAAGTCCCTTCAGCTAAGGAAAAAAAATGGGAAAATATTTGTACATCTACAGTGTTTAACAATATAAACTTTCTGAGGACTATTTTGTTTTGCTCCAAAGTTTGCAGTACACACAAAACAAAAACTATTAAAAATTAATTAAACCATTTTGGCATGCTGTCCCTTAATCAAGATATGGTGAGAAACTTAGTGAAATACAAAAGCATAAATGTTTTTATCTGTGAAAACTTAGGGAAAAACATAAATATACATAATAATGGCTGGAGACGGCTTGAATGGGTAATGAAGAAAAACTTTAACATAAGTTTGTATCTGATGCTGACAAAACCTTGTTGAAACATTGTACATTTGCTGTTATGTTAAACTTATATTAAAGTTTTTCTTCATTACCCATTCAAGCAATCTCCAGCTATTATTAGTCTCAAAGTGGGTTCCTTGTCATCGAAAATAAATATACATGTTTATCTGTGAAAATTTGGGAAATGCAGCAGAAGTATATTTCTTTGTCTAAAGAAAAATTGCAACTGTGTAAATATGAGCACTTTTTTTTATACATATTCCTGTATTTTGCAATGCCACTAAGTACCATGAATATCTCTATCTTGAAAATTCTAAACCCCAAAACATACCTTTAAATATAAGTACTTTCGTCGAGTAAACAGGAGCCACAGATTTATTAAGTCCCCAAGAAAAGCAAATAGTCTATATCCATTGAAATTACACCAGACTTTCCAGAACATTAAAATCTTTTATTGCAAACTTTTTGCCATCTAAGCTACTACACAAAATTAATTTAAACAGTGCACTTAACAGTACTTCTCAAGGTTTCGCAACACAATTTTTAAGTTTAAGGTTAAAAAACAGTTTAATTTCCAGTATTTTAAATTACTAGTTTTAAAACAAAGTACAAAGGTTGAATATATTATATTAAAACCATTTTGGGGCCCTCAGTAGTTTCAATCCACATTACCATTCTGGTCATGCTCTAACTGATGAACATAAATCTTGTAAATAGCCATGCAGTGTAGGCATAATTTTCATTACAAAATTATCCATCATAAAACTGTCATGTCCAAAGCACACCTTCCTCCCTGAAGTCTTTCCATAATCTATCTAGTGTACAAGGCACTACATTAGATTGGTATGTCAGTGTTTGATAGCATGAATACCAGTTTCATTCTCCAATTACATGAGGTATGTGATGGGTGGACAGATAAATCATAGAAGCAGCTTGTAAATGTGATCTGTATCACTTTTCCAAGCAGAAATTCTTCTGAATTATGTTGTGTGCATACTAATGCAAGAGGCACGTGGTTGGCTTTTACTACTAACCCTTGTGTTCAGAGATTATTATCCATTGTAAGATGCCATATTTTTCTTACCACAGTAGGGGTATGATTTGTTGCACGTCTGTTTCTAAAAGGTAATGTTGCTCCAAGTTCATACATATTTCTATGCTTTCCAATGTCATTAATTACCAGGAATATCTCCATTTTGAAAATTCTAAATCTCCAAACACATCTTTATGATCTGAGTGTATAAATATTTTGTATAAGAAAGGGCTATTATTTCCTAAAAGTGATCAATTTTTAGTGGCCTCACACTATCTACAGAATGCGAAACATAGTTGAAATGTAGTTATGATACATGCCATTACACTATAACTTTATATAAGCTGTAGCTGTCACACGATCTGCTGATATGCATATTTGAAATTGTTTTAGTATTACATATTCAACTCTGTAGATGTTGACTGAGCTGCATTATGTGTCTTCAACAAACATACCAAATATCTTGGGAGACAGCAAACAGAAACAATAGTAGATGAACATATTTTATTTACAATCAGTTATTATGATCAATTATGAATATACAAGCATATGAATCTTACCATTGCTAGGTTTATAATCAGTGCACAATTTCTTTAGTAGTTCTGTTGTAGGTTCAGGGACTTGGCTCATTAAAATTTTTCCATATCTCTTCATGTTTTCTTCAGCCTAAAAGGTAGTTTATCAATATTAATATATCATCTTATGTATTTCCTGTGGAAATACATATATGAATGACAAAAAAAAATGGGTGATAGATGAAATAAGTACCATTCAGTACCTCAACCTGAAGGCTGGTATTTAAAATGTTGATAGAATTTACTTTGCAATAAAATACAAGGAACCTAACTGTAGGTAGAGAACATTCTGATAATACACAAGCCTTCTCACTTGATAAAAGTCTAATTTTGCAATGTAATCTAGAGCTTTATTGTAGTCTTTGTGGTCTTCAAGCTGAATTTTCAGGTACCAGTCATGCTGTTCATGTTTCTGAGCTAGGTAGAGGGCATGAGTGTAGTAGCCTGCTTGTCGACAAACTTTCATTGCAATTTCCACATCGAAATCTACTTCTCTGTCTTTGGTCTATATGTACAAAATTAATAACATATGCATAAATGCATTATATATTTTATAACTTGTTTTACTTCTAAATACTTAAGTTTCTACCAATAACTAGGAGACTATTGTGTAACTTGGTATTTTTAAGACTTACAGTACATTATTAAACAAATAGGTTAAACAAAACATTTCTCACCATTATAAACTCATCGAGTTTGTTGTTATCTTTCAGTTTGGTATAACAATTGAGTAGAAGGGTTGTGTGATCTTCAGTAGCAAGCCCTTTTTTATGCAATGCCTGTAAGTATGCTGTAAGATTATGGATCCTTTGGGCATCTAGAAACTTAAAAGAAAGATTAGATATAGTGTTTTTGTGCATGTGAGGGCTTTAAAGTTGCTTGATTCACATTTTCTTAACCATTTCAATTGAAAGTACTTTGTTCTTGCTTATACTTTTCGTATATTGTGATTATCTTGACTTATAATCACCATGCACTATTCAAAAAAACAAATATTAAAATATTTAAAGTTCAACAACTTTAATCGTTATCTAAACACTAGATTGATTTTTTTCAAGTTTACAGTAAGTTACTAAACAACTTTCCTGAAATAATGTAATAAAAAGTATATATTAAACCAACAAAAAAAATCAAAATAGGAAATTACAATAATGTATACCTTTTCAGCTCTTTTATACTAATTTTGTAATTAAACACATACATGAAAAAGTAAATCAAACTACTTATGGTCAGATTTATTCAATTAATCTTAGTAAATTATTTTCTTAACGACATCCTCTTCTTCTGATCTAACTATTACTTGATTATGTTTCTAACTGAATCCTGTCATGCTAAGCCAAATTTTCAAATCAACCAGTTAAAAAAATTGTATTACTTTATTTTTACTGCAGCCTATTCAATGACTTGACAAAGAATATAAAAGTAATAAAGAAAATTTCTGATTATTTTGGATGAAATCATTTTAACTACAATTAAATTAAGACTTATTTTCCATTGTTTTTATAAGATTAGATTATTGTTTCAATACATGAAATATTTGTTTTTGTCCTTTAGTACTTTATGTAAAAACTGAACAATCTGCTTAATAAATGAATTTCTATAGTTTTTTCTCTGAAATGGTAGATGTATTTAAACATATTAATCACAAAAAAATGTTTTTTTACTAAATAATTTAGCATTTCATGTGTTTTTAACCTCTAAAACTTCTTTATCTAAAGATATTCTGTGACTGATTAGTAAACAGGAATACCAAATCATAGGAAACTGTTGAGCTTTAAGTATTTTAAGTATAGCCTATAATTACTAAAATAGGAACTTTTTATAATTTACTTACTTTACGTATAACGTAAGAGGCTTCCAGTTTACCGATAGTTTTGATATATTGAGTAATTGCTCCATCATGGTCACCTTTACTGGAAGTTAGAAAAAATAACACTCATAAACAAGAACTCAAAGCCATATAACACAAAAGTTTTAGCTAAGTAAGACATCATACAGGTTGAAAAAAACTTCCTTGTATAACTCAACATATTTTATTACAGAAACAGTTCAAATCTTTCAGTTAGTTTGAACTTATTTTCCACCAATTCTGTACACCTTTCAGAGGTTGCTACAACCTTGTGGAAAAGTAGATAAAAACCAATGTCTTTTTACATTTCCTGAACAACTTCAGATGTATGCCCTACCAAGATACAAGATAACTATATTGCTAATGTTACTTAATTAAATCAAATATCATACCAATCACAAAACTAGTAATTTCCAAAAACCTGAATATGCCCCAACCTTTTTGGGAAACTAACAAACCTGCAATAAACTCAATAAATTATCAGAAACATTTATACCATGGGAAGTCTTAAAAAGGTTCAAAGAATTTTTCAGAATATTTACCCAACATTAACATTCACTGCAACAATTATCAACTCTGTGAGCTTATACGAAAGTAATGCATTTAAAGAGTATTTTTTGTGAAAATCTTACCAGTAAAGATGGTCTCCATATTGACGAAAAATGTCAATCAGTCCATCTTCATCATACTGTTGACTCTTTGCCAGGCTGAAATGTACGTATATATATATAAACATATTTTTTTACCTCACATCAAACAATTCTTTACACAGTTTGTTGTTAAAACAATTTCTTCTCTTAATCTTTGGCTACCTATCATAGAAAGCAGAGTGACATATAATAATTCTTAATATTTTACTAATAAGTTACACATTGTGGAATATGCATATGGTATTACAATAATGTAATATTCAATCTTTTCCCTATGATACATAATTTGAAAAAATCATTTTAAGTACAACTCTTAAGGTTTTTCTAGACTGCTGTATTAATGATTCTTAACACAAGAGGGCAGTAAAGCATCAATCTGGGTAATTATTATAGGTTGCTGATGTTTCTAACCATTCACAGCATGAAATGATCAATGTATAATTAAGGTTAACTAGTGTTTCACATGATATTATCAACCATTAACGACTTCTATGAGGTGAATGGGTATCTTGAGCCAAATGTAAACACAGACAAACTAATCAAAATATATTATAATTATAAAACACAATTCCCATGAAACCTTATGGGTTTTAAGAAGACTATTGGTCTTATATATCCATTTCTGTATCATTATTTACATTATTTGAAATTTAAAGAGTTACTCTTTCAGATGACTTTGTTGTTTGTTTGTAAGAAGATATATAAAGCATAGACTCTGTAAAGTACAGTAAAGATATTTCATTTTTCATCATGTACGATAACTTAAAATTTACATGCATAAACCCCAGTGCAACCTTATAATACTGAATGAACTAAACACTGCAAGCAATTTTTCACTTATATCATAGTATGAAACAGTGATTTGGGGTAACACTGATACACATTAATGTCACTTAACACAAATATCACTTCATCTTGCAGATCATAAAATAATTGATCTTATAAGCTAATCAGCCCACACAGATATCAGGGTAAAAAAACGAGTGGATAGAAATTTATGGTCTATACACAAATTCAAATTACCCATACAAATAAATAAAAGTATTCAGAATAGAACTAGTCACATTCTTCATGAACTCGCATAAAATACTTATACTTTAAAAATGCAACACTTTGCTTTGTGTGTTTGTCATCTGCTACTTTTGTACTTGTAGCAGTATTAATTAACTTCTCCCATGATTTACCTGAGATAACTCGACACGCTCTATGTATCCAAAAATATTTGCCCAGGTTAATTTTGGCAAACCACTTTCCACTGAATTTTTAATTACTTGCCCAAATTTATTCACGTATGGTAAATGGCATTGTAAATGCTGTTGCACTCATCTCTATCAGATTTATTCTGAATTATGTATGATAAACAATGGAGAAAAGCATTTCTACTCTTTACTGTAGTTTCATTGAAATAATATATGTATCATGCATAAATCCAGGTAACACTTATTCATTGAATATATTTTGTACAGAAGTATAACAACAGATCATAAAAGAACTTTTGTTTAATTGATATATAAGCTATAAAAATTGAAATAAAACAAGTGGGAATCCTCAATAGCCATAGCAGTTGAAATTCTTTTAGGTAGAATTAGAGTAAATTAATCTATAAGAACATTTTTCCTTTTTATTAGCTATATTTTGTGCACTAGTAATACCAAGCATGGAGCATGCATATACTCAATTCAATTTTATTACTCATCAGGATCTCTACCAGTCTACCCTCAAATTGAAATTCTTTTATGCAGGATTAAAGTAAATTAATCTATGAGACCTTGGACGTGGTCAAATGCATCACTCGAAAGGGTTTGACCTCCTGAATCCAAAACTGAAATTAGATCTAAATTTGGTTAAGAGATGATGGAGCCATGAGCTAAAAGTATGTACTTGAAAAACTCAGAGCCAATCTAGGAGCCACTAAGTAGCAGCTAAAAACCTGACTTTCTTAGCTCATTTCCACACAAAAAGCCTGATACAGGAGGGATAATGCTTCAGGGACATACACAACATGTATTTGTCATTTGACCCAGCCAATGCAAAAGTAATGACAGTATAGAATAGCTTCAGTACAAGACTTTTAGGTAGGCTTGCAAGTTTACCAGATCAATTAGTCAACCAGATGCCTCGGGGCTGTAGTTAGTATTTGAATCAGGACTCCATTTACCTAGTATCAGAATAAACCTGTTGTTGCCAAACATACTTTGCCTTTCAGCATTTGACTCATTGTAGAACAAATAGTAAACTCCTAACATTATGGAACTAATTTATTAGGATCATTCTATTTTTTCATCAAAAACAACATACATAATTATATGTGTTAAAAAAAATATCAAATCTTGGTTATTACTATTACAAAAGGTCAGTGTAATATTGAAAAAATAAACAGAGTTATATTTGTACAACTTTTTATATTTTCAGATGATTTTAGAAACAGTACTTCTCAGTTTGAATATAAATTTCAGGTGTTTATGAATTAACTTTTTTACAAATTTAATTTTTTTGGGAAGGCCAAAGAGGAATGTTTAGGTATACTGCATTACTATCTCAAATATACACCCAAATAAAGCTTTAAACACATTATCTGATAGACTGTGCTTGTAACTCATACATAATTTGAACTACAAACATTTACAGGTTCATTTCTTTTTTTCCCATATAAGGCTTCATTGTTTTATATTGACAAATTCAGTGTAACTACAAATATATGATATTCTGAGGTACTCTGAGTCCCTGGTAGACTAATGACACAACTGATGGGATTTCTTGGGTAACTGTCATTTTAGATGGTGGATAGAGTCAAAGAAGTTATTGAAACATTGTTATACATCAAATTATGGAGTGGTTGCTATTATGGGACATGACAAAATTACTTTTGTTTTAAGGTATTAGAAACAAGTACTGTTATATCTCTATTGCTGCTCAAAGGCAACAGACAGAAATAGATCACATCTACAAAACAACTTGAGAAACTGCTTGACCATACATTTGGATATCATGGGCAGTGTAAGTTTTACTTTTGTTAAAACTTTGGAAAATGCTGAATCAGCAATACATTTTATATTGAGGTTCCTCAACTGACATATGCATGGATCATGTTAGCCATAAAAAGTCTTAGGTGAAACAACCATTGCCACATAAGCAATTCAGAAAACTTTCACGTATATATAGTCATACAGTCCCCTTGAGGGAAACAAAATAGCCAGTACAAAAAAAAACAAAAAGAGAGGATCATATCATCGATGCTGCTTTGGTGCTGGTTTCTCTAACCAGCTTGGACTTTTATTACACATTGTAGCACGTAAGAAGAGTTCAAACAAAAGTCCTAGTGTTGTTCAAAAAAATATGCAACACAAAATGAAAAACTAAGAAAATGACTGATGCCAGAAATAAGGAAAAGACAAGTAGACATAAGACAAACTTCGGCATGAATCAATAATAGTGGCATAGTTAATTATGGAAAACATCTTCAAAAAGTTGATCTTAATGACCAAAGAACAAAGGATAATGTTCTTTTCATGATGCCTTGCTCAAGCAACTGGAAGTAGTTCATGTTGCCAGCATTAACTATTACTTGATTTGATGGTTTAAGTGAGTGGTAACCAAAAAAAACCTCACTGGGCAATACCAGTGATGACTATGACATACAAGGTGGGTCATCCTTATTTTGAGTATATAAGTAGTAACTAAAACATGCATTTCCTCTGTATGTAAATTTTATCCTCTAACTTATCTAGCTATAAACTATGAAGATTCACTACTCTGTTTTGAGGTTATAATCAGTTAGTTTGTTTATTTGGTTGAAGTTAAGCACAAAGCTCCACAATGGGCTATCTGTGCTCTGTCCAACAAAGGTATCGAAACCTGGTTTCTGGCATTGTAAGTCTGCAGACATACCACTGTGCAACTGGGGATACCATTTAAATTCTATTGACTTTACGACTGTCATCAATCAAAGATAATCCAAAAATACCAATATTTAGTATGATTTTGTAATTTTTATCAAGTTTTATGTTATTTAAAAATGTTAGTGGTATATATATATATGTGTGTGTATATATATATATATATATATATTTGTGCATGTGTGTGTACACATAAGTAAAGATCAGTTGTTATACCTTCCTTAATGCAATTATTGTATTTTATAAACCAGTTTCATAATCTCAGGGTAACTCTTCAGTGGGAGAAATAAAACCACTTTGAGAAATGTAACAAAGTATCAAACCTCCAAGTATATTTAAAATCACATACAAGTATATAAATATAAAATAAAACAAGAGTGATATAATAAAGAAAACACCAAATAAAAGTATGAACATAACTATAAAACACATATATAATATTTTCTCACACTAAGCAAGTGAAACAAATAAAACACCAAACACCAGCAAAATTTTGAATTTAATACTTACAAAAAAGTATCTTATCGTACAATATTCTTTCAAAGCAATCTTTATCATACACTCACTTGTAGTTTCCTATAAACTACGTGATTAAGAATAAGTGTTCATTGAATTAAAGGACAAAGATACAAACATATTGAAAGTATATTACTTCTGCTATCATCAGATATATTTCAGAATTTCTATTACAATAGCACTATTTCTTTCCTTTCCTTTCAAAATTTGAAAAATAAAAACAATTGATATCGGAAACAAAATACAATTTACATTATTTGATTCCAGAGCTGTAATCTATGGAAGTAAAAAGGCTCCATTTATTCTTGCTTTACAAGTATGTTCCTTATTATTGAGCATCATTAGGTGATTATAACTTCCTTGCCATCTAGGGACATTCATCTGTACCAAATTTCAACACCCTTTTTTTTAGTTCATGTATTATAAAAAACTGTGATATTTCAATTATTACTTTATTGGTTAACTACAGACAGAGTTGAATTGGATAACCTTTTAAATTTGAGTCTACTTCTGTTAGCTTAACATTTACAAAACAACTTCAGAAATTGTTTTATCATGTGTTTGGAGATCATGGGCAGTGCAAGTTTTACTTTTGTAAAAACTCTGGAAAATGGTGAATCAGCAAAAATTTTATATTGAGATTTTTCAACTGACACATAAGCAATTCAGCATACTTTTTAGCAGTCTGAATACAAAGTCAAGAGAGATTAACAGTTTAAAATAATATAAAGTATTTTTCTGTAAAAAATTGACATTTTGTGTAATTTTGATGCAGTAATGTAACTTCATTTTAAAAAGTTAATTTTTGAAAAACTGTTTAGTTAACATTAGAAATTATACTTCTTAATAATTCAATGCACTTGTTCCACAAAAATCTTAATTTTTAAAATACAATAAGTTATCTAACGATAACTAAAAACACCTGTGGAATATACTTTTAGCCCAATGAATAATAACTGAGGAAAATTTTAATTAAAATTTGTATCACAGCACTTCTCAAGTCACAGTTTATAAACAAAGAGCTGCTCTATACATTCTCTAATATTCTGTAAAAAATAATTAAGACATTCAAAAAATTGAGAAAAGTGTAAAGCATACATGAATGAAAAATACAAAACAATGCTGAAATTATATGAAAATTTGTCAGGTTTTAAGCTGTAGTTGTGTTTTAAAGTTATTGTTGGAAACTTAGATGTATGAATAAGATGGCACACCTTAAAAGAGTGCATTACATTCTCTTCTCACCTGATAGCTAAAACATACTGGTTCTTTTTAAATAGCATATCTAACTTGCTCTGAGTGTCTTTTTCCTGAAGATTGTATAGCTACATGAAAAAAAAAAGGATTATCAAAACATCAGTTTCTTTTCAAACATCATCATTAGATATTGACACTAACAACGTAACTTCATGAAGAAATCAACTCAAGCATTGAGTTATAAAACCTGTTAATTGAAAAGAATGTTCTTTTATAATGAAACAATTACTTTATACTGACTGAAGTACTCTATGTGATATTTATACAAGTTTGGTAAGTTTATTTTAGTTGGTCATTTTTAAATAACAGAAAAATATCTTATGAGGTTTTAAACTTCTTGATTTACCATTCATCTTGCATTGCTGGTTAGAACATCAGGTTTTTTTCACTGACATTCACTTTAAAAGTACTATCCACTAGACTTACCTTCCCATCATGAGCAAGTATATATAGTGTTCCCCATTCTGAGAAAACATCCACAACACCAGGCATAGGAGCTGAATAGGCTGAACATAAAATAAAAAATTAAAGTTTATATCCTGAAAAAACAAGAAAAAAAGACAAGTCCATGACATACTTATTAATAAACATAGCTTCATATGTGTGTGTGCAATCTTTCTGTAAATTTAAAATAACTCATTTTGTTTTTGGAATATATGACTTCGTAAAGTTCAGAATCATAAATCCTGAAATTGTGGATATAAAAACTCAAACTAACTCAACATATATGTAATGTATGTATTATATATACATACACGCATACATAAATATATATATAAATAAAACTATAATAGCTTGACTAATCAGATTCCTAATCTGAGTCAATAATGAAGTAACATATTGCTACTGAGTTGTTAAAAAGAGTCTTATTTACAAAAAATGTGTAGTGATGGCAGTATCACCTATACTGGCAAACTTAAATGTCACTAAAGAAGCAAAGTCTATATGCTCACCTAGAAGTATCCATTAAAACCATCCTTTGTCTGATGAAACTCAGAAATCAAACAACCTTATCACCATAATATCTGTAACTACATATCTTAAACTCCTCATTAAAGGAAGCTTAGAAGTTACCTATGCTAATTTCTGACTAGTGTATTAGTATTTCTAGACTGTTGGTGTGTTACTTTACATACAAATGTATTTCCTTCTCTACTATACGTTTCATAATGTTCAATTATATCATATATATATATATATACATATATGTGACTGCTTATTTTTCTAAACCTAATGTTTTCAAACACCCTTCTGATTTTACCCCATCTGTACTAAATTATCGTCACATTCTTTTATTAAGCTTTGCTGATGATAGAAAAGTCTGACACGTTAAGTACATATTTTTTTGCCACCAACTCTTTCTTCATCAGATCACTGCATGGTAATAAAACATTTACTAATTTGATTATTCACTAACATTATTTCTTATAATTGCAAAATTCTTCTTGATTCTCTAAGCAATTCTGATAAAACTCATACTTGAAACTTTACTGTTGATAGGCCTATGATAAAGAATTTCCGAATTTACTATAATTTTGAATAGATAAATTGCACTTGAGAACTTAAGTATTATATTTTTTTTACTAATATGCTACTATAAATTAAATCTTCATACGTTTTCTACATAAAACATTTTAGCAGTTATAATAACATTCAAGGATGCAACAGGTGGGCATGGCAAGTGTGTCTAGTTTAAATCTTTGTAAACAAGGAAGATTGAAGGCAATAAAAATTAGACTTTGCCTTAATAATATCTATACTAAGTAATTTACGTTAAACTCTAGACATCAGAGATCGATGATGAAAAACAAAGGATGGGCAAGTTGGGGCAAACAAATGTCATGATACACAAACTAGGGGAGGTTGAGAATTGTTTAAATACTTCCTTTTAAAATTAAGAAATTAAATTTACATAATATTAAAATTTGATTTCCAAACTACTCTTTGATGCCAAGTTTATTCATATTCATTGACAAGTAGTTTATGATGACGAGAAAGTAGTTTAATTAAATTTTAAATGTAACTGTATAAAATGTCATGACATCCACACTTTGACTTTAGCGAGAGAGTTAATAAGCATGTCCCACTGTCTAAATTTTAATACAACCCTTCTATAAAACTCTATATATGTCCTTACTTACCCCATAGAAAAATGGTACATAAATCTTGTTTACAATTTTTTAAAACTACAACAACTAAAATAATAAATTTTCATAAATACAAAAATAAGTCACATACTTCAATATAATTAATTTATACAAACCTATAAACTTATTCTGAATGTCATAAACTGTTACTATGTTCATTTCAACTGATGATCCAGGTCTGAAACAAACAAAATATTGTATATTCATGACAAATTTTATTTCAAACATAGGAATAAATGTAAAGACTTTAAAGGAACCAGATAAGTGAAAGTTAAATGCACTATAAAATTACTTTAAAATTTCCTATGAAAAACAAATATTACATAGCATGTTTATTTTAAAAACATGAGTTGCCTTGAATTATTTCAATGTACTTTGTTCATCATCTTTTCTTTTTACATTAACAAATACATATATACACACACACACACACAATATAT